TAACGTGGTTTTGAAATTTACAGGATCGCTTCTTCTCTGCATAACCAAAGGTTTCTACGGGAAGAGTGTGAATTTTAAACTCGTATAATATATGAAATTTTTAAAAATAAAAAGCTATTTAAGGGAGGTATATTCGCGGGATAGAAAGGGAGGAACATTGGGACGAAATAAGCTTTCGTTAAAACAAAAATGTCTCGTGAAAAATTACCATTGGAGATAAGGGTGGAGCGCGACGGGGTGGAAGGGCCGCGGGGCGAACAAAAGGAGAAACGTTTTCAGGAGTTCGCGCTACCGCGAGGTGGAGCTAATAAACTTTTTATCTGGAAGTTTGGGCGTTTCAGCGACCGAATTACAAAAACACAAACGCGGTGGCCCACTTTACGGGTGAATACTCGGCCCCGAGTCGTTGCTCGTGTTCCAGATAGCTACGAACCACCTGCATAGATAACAGCTTGCGCTATTACATACTGCACGGCACACGAATCGAGGACCCCCGCTTTATAATCGTTCCTATTGATTCGTCGATACCACGGCTATGTATCTGTCGCACAGAGACCGAACAACGCGCTTCCGTTGTCGAAATGTATTCATCGAACGAAAGACAAAAGTCGATGTATACGAGTAGACCTTACACCTTATGGACTTTCGTTGCCCAATCTGACTGTTGATCTGAAAATTCGGACAAATTGTTCGCCAAGTGACGAATCGGAAAAGCACAATTAAATTTTGACAAATTTACCGAAGTAAAGGAGAGGATCACAAAAATAAGTGGCATTTCGTTCGGGGTTATGACCGACTCTGGTATTAGAACTCTTAAAGTAAATTGACGGATCTACGTTACACGATGAGTCATTTAAGATTAATTTAATTTTCTTTAATCGTATTATTCCCCGGAAAGAAGGAGTTAAAGAGCGATGCTTCGTTCCTGTTATATCGATTTTCCTACGGATAAACGTAAAGTTCCTGCAAGAGAAATCCGTGATGATTTCGTTGAGAGTAATGTGCATTATAAATCTACTTCGAAAAGATATTCTGCTTTCGTTTTAAAAGAGACAAAGGTCGCCTCTAAATCTCCGAAATGCCACCACCTAGAAAGATTTCGTTCCATCCCACTTACGTCATCCTTGAAACTGTGCTTTCAAACTTATGGTTGACCCATTTATCTCCGGAGATAATAATATCAACGTAAATCAAGATGGCAATTTCGAGTGTCTCACCCTGTGTACGATAAATTATGAGTAAATCGTTTTACTGGTACGATGCACCCTCGATTAATCACGTTTAATGCGACTCCCCTAATCCTTGGGAGTACCAGGTAGATTGAAAATAATATTTGGATTATAAATTGAACTCTAACGGAGGTTCCAATAATCGAATTAGAATTAATTTTCTCGAAAATCTCAATATAGCTTCTGTTGGTAGGTTCGTGACCTTTAAATATTGATCTTTCTTTAACGCCATTCACTGTAAATGTTACTGACATATTCGAATTTAACTTTGGCCTCCAGGATCGGTGCAAGTTTTGTTCGTGGACCGATGCGACTGGAATGCGAAGCAAATTATCGTAAAAGTGGAGGTAGTTTGTGGCGTCACTTGCAGTTGGGCGAGTGGCCTCGAGAGGCCAAAATACTTGGCTCCCACTTTACTGTCCCGTCGGTAAACACGAACGAATCAACACGAGCAGGCCCGCGCCGAACAGGAACGATCTCATGAATGAAGAAATATATTCATTCGCAACGATTCATCTCCGCGAAATCGACTCCCTGTCAGCTTGGACTATTTCTGTCTCGTCGATCATCCGAATCCACTCGCTCGATAAATTTATCGACCATCCTCTACGATTCTATTAAAGCCCAACGGACGGAATTTCCGGTTCCTTCCCTCGAAATGTGCATTGTGATTTTTGTAGTATACATAGTACTGCAAAGTATTTTCCACCGACGCAATTGTCGCCGATCGAGGGATAAGATTAGCATTCGCGTTCGTGATCGTTCGATGGCTAATTGACTCGTAACGAGTAACGACATAATTACCGGGGGGTCTCGTTCGTTATTTCGACAAGACCGCGAGAGAAACAAAACATCGACGGATCCGAGCGGAAGAATTCTCGCTCGTTGGCTTTTGTTCGCGGCGTGCTCGTGCTCGTCGGAGACACGGCGCTTTCCAGCGTCGGTTGGCTCGTTTTCAGAAACGTTTCGTTGCATAAACGAGCGCGAACAATGGTAGACGCGAGCACGAGCAAACCGTAAGTGAACAACGGCACACGCGTGTTGCAGCTCGACGACGACTCCGGCGAATACGGACTCTGCCTTTCGGAGCGGAAGATGACGCGAGAGTCTCTCGAAAGAAGAGCTAAATGTTCGTCGGTGTCGCGAAAGAAATCTCTCCTCGCTTGACCCAGATATTACCGAAACAATTCTTCGTTGGCCTTCGTAGTTTCGGAATATTTTGAGAATAGTTGTATCGATGAAGAAGGTAACGCGGTAAAAGTTTATAGTAATACCGTTTGCGGAAAAACGCGTCACTTTTCTTGGAAATAATCAAGGAAAAATACCACTGCTTGGGCTTAGAAATAAAGAAGCACTCGCAGTTGCATCAGTCGCGACCGTAGACAGAAGTTTTCCGCGCGATTGCGACAGTTTCCCCTGGTATCACGATCGGGCGCCCGATCTCGTTACGTTTAACGATCTCTCTCGTGGCTTTTGATCCTGGCGATAATAAACAACGCTCCTCGCTCTGTTGCTGAAATATTTCGCCCTCTCTGGACTCGTTCGTCAACGGCGCCCGGGGTTTGTTCTCTCTCGTGGCAGCGTTTTCAGAACGTGCACGTAATCTTAGAACATGCTCTCGAGCTACGGACGAAAGTCACGGCGAGACGTTTAACATCCAGCCGTAGAAATTGACGATCGTTTCGCTCTATCCGGAGCACAGCAGGCTTTCGCGCAGCTTAAACTACGTTTCGTTCGTTTAATTAGAAATAAAACAACCGTGAAATCTTAGTCAGTTCGAACGGAGTAGCGCACAATTCTTACACAAGTTTCCAACAACGAACATTTACACTTGCTTGAACTTTCCTTTGAAACGGTTGAAACGAATGGTATCCGTACGAAAATTTGAGAACATTTCTAGACGCGGAAAATGAGCACGGCAGGCAACGTGTTGGAGAAGAAGGCTCGTTAAATTTGATCCGTCATTGCCTTCGACGCCGATGGGAACACTGGCATTATTACCGTCACGTTGAGAACGTGATTCCGTGCCGCGCGGGATGATAGCGTGCCGTCGATACCAATTTTCTCCCACGAGTGATTTTCTAACGATCGAACGCGCCCAAGCATTTGGAGCGCGATACTTTCACCCTAATCGATCGCGCGAGCCTCGTGATTTATAGGGATATTAAAATGGTCGCGTCGATCCTGGGCTTGGCCGTTCCAGCGAGCACCGAGACCGTCGTTTCTTAACGTTTTATCGCCCTTATTTATGAAACGGAGGAAATGACACTTCCGGCCAGAACCGCTGGCTATCTTCGTCGCGGTACATCGACCGTTTCAGGCCTGCACCCTTTAACAGCTACAAACGTTTTTGCCTACCGAATGTCTCCAATAAAACCGCTCTCACGATCAAAGGGAAGCCAAATCGTCGGAGATAGCGACAGATAACGACGAACGACGCACACTGACAAATTTAAGGCTACTAGAAAAATTGGTCGTTGGAAAGTATGTTAAAAGGCACCACGTAACGATTAATTTTAAATTAGCCGAATTGCTCACAGACCTACTGGAACGAAATATTAAAAATGTCTCCGACCGTAAAGGGTTGAGAATGTTCTCGACGTATTGTGTTCTTTCGTGGAGAGTCCTATGGACCGCCCCCGGGGCGACAAAAACTCCAGCCACGGCATCTGCCCGCACTCTTTGCTCGAAACGTCCAAATTGAAAAATTCACGTATCCGTGCAGCAAGTATAAAAGCCCACGTGGGTCTCCAAACATTTCGTGCTACGTCAATAACCCTTCCGGTCGCAATTCAAAGGTACGTAAGGTACTTTCGCCTTATCCGAGCCCCCCATCGACGTCTCTTAGAAATTCCCCCTTTTATCCCCCCGGGGCTTGAAAATATTTGGCTTGCCGAAAAGGTGTCCGAGGGAAGATTTTTCGACAGGACGCCCGAAAGCGTCGGGAAATATTTTCTTTTAATCGCCGTGGAAACGCGGATTGATAATGTTTCTCCGTTCCTCGGGAATCCTGGTCGAATCGGGTCGTATCTTATCGAGCGTCTCTCCGACAAGCTGCTCTTTGAGCACAAAGCACACGCTACAGCCAGAAAGAGAGTATCGATTTGCAACATCTGCGACATCCTCGTTCGGCTGCTCAAGAATTATTCAGTTCACGAGTTTCCGCGTCGCTACAAGCTGCCTCTTTATTTCGTCGAGAGAGCCGGGTTTCCGCTGGAATGGCAGAGATCACTGCAATGAATACGCCACCGCTTGTTACTCGAAACTGCAAGGGAATGTGTAACGTCGAACTCGAACCACGACAGAATTTTTTCCCTTCTTTTTTCTGCATCTTGTTTAGCACGAGTAATTGCGCGCTGTGGGCTGCTCTCGAGCTACTTTGCTCGTGTAATATTCACGCGTTCGACGCTGTCCGGAACTTCAGCTTTCCTAAAAAGTTTGGCCCGGGAAGAGCGTGTCGCTACATACGTTTACAGAAAATTAGAAGTTCCACGTTTTATTTTACCATGTCGTACTTGAATACCCAGAATCATTAACTTTATATTTGTCAATGAATTCTTGTAGTTTTCCCCTTGTAAATGAGTATAAACACAACTCTACTTCAACCACTTTGAATTACGCGAGTTGAAATTTTGAAAAAGTGAACAAAGTCGTGTTTGTACTCATTTTTACCGGAGAAATTTTGCCAATCCGTTCGTAATATCGTCAGAATAATATAATGAAATATATAGAAAGTGCAGATTCTACTAACGAATTGTTCTTTATGCCCAGGTCGCACGATTCTAAGCGAATTGCTGTACACCGAGAGACTTGTGGTAAGTAATTCGCTGAATCCTATTAGAGTAACAGTCGCTGGTGAAATTCGCGCGAAACTTTCAGATATTTATCGAGCCTCCGAGCGTCCAAATATTCGAACGCGAAAGAATTCGATTAGTTCGAGCTCTGGTCGTTGATCGGCGAACGATCGTGTCCGGAAATTCACGATCTCGGAGTTCCGCGTCGGTAGGGCGGGCGGTCGGTCGATTACATTGGTTGCAGTTATTCGATCGAGCAAAGACATCGTTTCCACGGCGGAAAACTGGCACACACACCTGTAACGCGCATCAAAGGACATTGCAACCGACGCGTTGCTCCACTTTGTAGATTTTTGCTCTTCGTCCCGGTACAACTAACCCTTTCGTCAATCGAATCGAACCGATAGAATTCGGTTGCTGTGGCAGCGCCTCGATTGGCACGCGCTTAGTGCTCCCTGGATGTAGTTCTACTGCACCCTAGCTACGGAACGCGATTGATACGACCGATTGAATCTGCAACTGTTCTCTGACGCTTCGAACAATACACACAAGATGTACCACGCAAATTGGATCACTTGATTATCACCGGTATTTATAGATGTACGAATGTTTAGGGCAGTCCCGACATTATCGAATTACTTGACGTGTAAAACAATTTTTGTAACGCCCTCGATTTCGATGTGTCAAAGTCCCATTTTGCTTTTGCCTTTTGCACAGCGTAATTTTGGCAATCCTGTTGTCGCGTAGTTTCGTTACTGTACGCGGAGAATTTCCGTGCTTCCATTTTGTCCCTCCGAGATTTACTGCCGATTTTTATCCTCTTAGCGCCGTTTCGAGGCTTCGTGCATAGCGAAAACCGTGGATCCGAGGAGAACGTGAGCGAGAACGAGCCTCTTCCAGAAACTTGTTACGGCATTCTTCTCGGAAGTGCCTTCCGCATGATCGCATGAATGAATGAGTAATGCATCGTCATGAATTAAACATACGGACGCGTGCGTACTGGACTCTATCTGTCTCGGTTTCTCTTCTGCGTGTAGAACGCGCCGGTACATATTGCAGAGTTCATCGAAAATCTATCGGAACCGAGCAGAACGTACAACTATTAAACACGCGCGATATTTCCACGATCAGCAGGGAAATAATGGAGCGATTCGAGTGTTCGTTTCTCGTGCACGCTCGAATTCGTACCCGGAATTCGTAGAATCGAACGTTTACCGAAGATTTGTTGGAACACTTTTCGCGAACGGTTGCGCCACGTACAGGAATAGAATTTCCTGTAATCGATTACGATCCGGTGGATTATTTATGTTTATTCTTCCTCTTTTTTTTTATAGCTCGTAGGGAGTACCGTGTGATTTGTAGAGGTTGTTATCGGGACAGCGATGCACGATAATTTCGTACCGGGCCAAATAAAAAAAAAATAGTCTATGTATACGTACGTCGATGGCTCGCAACAGATATTATTGCACGTTCATTTTTAGCGTAATTAACGCGTGGAAATATTTCGGACGAACGTTTTCACGCTCGAGAACGGTATTTGAATTTTATATAGAAATAGAAATTATTTGGAAATGGGGCTTTTATTCGTCGCGATCTAAACGGTGATTGCACAAATTCCTGGTAATGGTATATTAAAAAGATTAAAATTTAATTCTACTCCAAGACATCCGGTAAAAGTTCGCCTACGTGGGTTAGTCAATAAGCGAGCTGCCCAATCATGGTAACTTCCGTTCTAAAAGAGTCATGTAGTTGCCACTTGATAGCTACATCGACGCAACATGGTTGTTGCTGCATAGCAAGTATCAACTGGATTGCATCGGTCATTCGTGTCTTACGGTATATCAACACGTTGACTGGCGTCACCCATATTTGGGTCACAAGGCTATTCTCTAAAAAGCAAATACAATTAATTCTCGAGGTAGTTAGTATTCCGATAAACTGTTTAAAAACGACAGACAGCATAGCGACTGAAAATTCGCAACGGTTTTCTACGACACGCTAATATTTCCACCAGTGTTGCACTCGCGGTGCACCGAACGAGCAAAGGAAACTGGCCTAATTGAGCGAGCATAATTGAGCCTCGGGTGGCGGCTGCGAAGTTGTTCGTCGTGGACAGTACAGTCGTAAATATTACGAAACGCATACCGTGCTCCTGTCCGCGTAATAAAGCAAAGTGTTCACAATTCGTAGACGCCTACGGTGGCGAAACCCATTACACGGTTAATTTTAAACCGAGCCGTTTTTATAATTTCTATTGGACACGCAACGGGTCGAAATTTATTTATCTTTTTATTCTCTGTTCAAAACTTTAATCGTTTGTCTAACGAGACTATTTACGGAACGGTTTCCCATACAGAGTATCGCCGCTAATAAACGTCACGCAAGAGATCAAATGTATCATGCAATAACTGAATTTGAGACGCCAAGGCAGATGCGACGCGCGATGTTTCCAGGTGTTGCCGTTGAGAACCTCCGCCGTGCAAATTCGTTGTTGCATTTTTAATCCGTTTCGTATCTCCGGCCTGACAGCTGGACGAATTATGTACAGCCGAGGCGCTTCGAACGGGGCCACCGTCCCCGCGTGAACTTTTCTGCACTCGGATGGTAGCTACGTAGCGTAACTGTTGCGCGAGAAGAAGACATTTCTGTAATTCACACGCGGCGTAGGGCAGTTTTTCATCGAGCCTCCCTCCGGAGCAATAAAACCCGCGGACGAGGGTCTCGACCGATACTAAATATATCCTGGACCAGCACCCTACCAACGAAGGCGTCGAATCTTCAAGGCGCTCGGTACGGTTACACCATTCGTCTGCGATCAGCAGTTCTCAGCGTCGGATTATGTCTTTGTCTCTTAACTAAGAAACCTCATTGAAGTAACATCAATCTATGTTACGTCCACATATTTGTGGAAAATACGTATTACGTATCACTAAACATTTTCACGCTGACATAATCCTATCGCAAGAAAACAAAATTTTGTCTGGGAGTGTATATTTTAAGAAAATTAATCTAGACCAGAACAACCCCCGTGAGTCTTTAACGTTGTCAGCGCGTCGTTGGCTATGGGTTAAATATACTACGTCGTCCGTTTAGATTGTGCTCGTAACGGAAAGATCCAGATGGTGTCGCACGTTATTCCCAAACTCTTGATGAGCGAGCTCGCGTCGGACGGTTGACGAGGGAAACTCTATCTAAAATCGTAATGTCCGACGGTTCTAGTAATCAGCAGCACGCCGCGTCTACGGATCGCACCGGAAGAGCCAAAGGGGAAAGAGAAGCACCGGGAGATAAAACTGCGAGAGGAAATGGATAGCGATTTTCTGCGGCGTAATGCCTGGAATATTCATCAGACGATTTGTCTTCCGGTGTAACGAAAAATCGCGCGCTGCTCCGACCGGTAAATTAATCCCCGGGGATATTTATGATTTTTACGAGCTCGGCGATAAAATTCCCGGGTCTTAAGCAGCGTCGCGTTAAACTGCGCCGAGGAGAGACGGAAAACGAGATGGACCAATTAAATCGTGAATTGTATTGCGCCCGACGTGACGGCGCTTTTCGGGATACAGGCTGATCGTGACTATCGGAACGAAACGGTTCTGACCTACTCTGCAGCCATTTCGCAGTCGTTGCAGCACCCTCGATTCCACGATTTTCCTATTCAAACGCTCGAATAAAGCTCATTTCTCGTTTAAAATCGCCGGAGGATATTAACTTTACGAAATAAGAATAACACGGAGTCGTCGATCTTAATAACACTTTCAGACACATAGTAAAGAATCTTAATTCGCGTGTATCTAAATGGCAAACTGGAAATATATTCAGCTTCCGTTTTTCCTTGTTAATAAGCGTGAATGACGCGTCAGAATGCTTAACGACACGGTAATATGTGTCCGTGTAAATGTTCGATGACGCGCGTTCGCGGTTCAGCAACGAACAACTGCTCGTTATCGGACTGCCAGCAATAACTATCGAATGATATTTATTAACCGTGGTCGATCGACGCGAATTCCTCGGACGTTCCGCGCGTACGCGGACCGTTTTTATCTGCGTGTCCCCGCGGTTTCGATTCTTGCTCCCCCCATTGATTTGTTGCCTCCGATAGAAGTAATGTATCCGCAGACGTACCGTTCGTTTTTCCAGTTTCTCCGAACGCAGCGCTACGTGTTTTATTTATTACAATCGCATCGCGCAGAACGCGTTCGATACGTCTCTCTCGTTAAGGTCAAATCATAGATTTTAGACGGAACTTTTCGTGAACTTTGAGAACGGAGAAACGCGAACGACTCCATCTGGACCTTTTCATTACGAGCGTAATGTCCGAGGATCGTTCACGGAAAGTTCATTACCGCTGTTCCGGTCTGGGAAACGACGCTGGGTGATCCTGGCGTGCGAGCAATCCGAGTTCCTCGTATTCGTTCACCGTCCAGCTTCTATTATGCTTTACACTGTACACACGCGATAATTAATCCCACGCGTGGGCCACTCTCTCTCCGCAGCCAAAGACCCGTCTGCTAAATTACTACGTTAAAAGGCTGCATTCGGGTCTGTTTGACGTTCGTGCAATTAAATGCGTTTCGCGTTCCAAAGCTTTTTCCATCGACCTGGCGCCGCGCGCTACGGCAATAATGCTCGATTAGAGAACACGGAATTTTGTCGATGATTAATACTGGCACGGCTGATAACATTGTTCAAATTTTATGAAAGAAATCAAAGGTAGATTTTATTTGAAAAAGAATTGCTAAATAATTCGTTCTTCTTCGGATCGTAAGATAGATTGGAAGCTCAAAGAACAGATTGGTTTGTTCGATCGGTTCTATATTCTTCTCCTCTCGCCGGTCTGGTGCTCATATCGAATTTTACAGTTGGCGAGCTGGATAATTAAAGTCGCCTCCGTGTACGTGACCTTGTTAATCTGTAAGAACGACGACTCACTCGCGGCGGAAACGAAATCTCCGAGCCGAGGAAGGGAAACGGGTATATTCCTTTTCCCATGACGACGTCACGGCCTTTGAGTTTCGTTC